GAGAACGCGGATCCTACAAACAGTTCGAAGGATCCTACAGACAGTTCGACACGATCCAATGAAATCCGTTGATTGCGTGTACAAACAAATCTGGACATCTGCGGCTTCACGAGGTCGGAGAACAGCTCATCATCGACCCGGGTACTATTCTCAAGTCAGCCGGGAAGCAGCATGGCAAGAATGAACAACTCATCCGCAACGCCCTCTGCGGCTCCGTTTTGTCTGAAGACAGATTCGGGGTCGCAAATCAAAAGCCATGCCTGCAAGTTCTCGCGGTCGTAGACCGTGTAGTACCTGACTGCGCAGGCAGCGGGCATGAGAGATGCCTTGCCTACAGTGCCTGACCAATCTGCCCACAACCTGTGCTGGAACAGCTCGGGCTATTTAGCGATTTGAGATACAATTTGGCCTCGGGCATTCAGAACATGTTGCAACGCCTTGCTGGTGCATCTAGTTTCACGGTTCAGCCCTTTCAGGATCCTGCCCATGTTCGCCGATCATGTTCTGCCATATTGGAGGCTTTGCTAGCCAAACCCTCTCCCTCTTGGGCCCAAATGGTCGCTATTCAGGCACGCAGGCTACTCTCCTTGTTAAACACAGGAGTTTGCATTGATTACCATGTGAATCGACTCACCATGGAAGTAGTTTGCACAACTCCCTGAAAGCTTCAACTTGTCGTCGCACAGCCTTCTACTTGCGCTCCGTAAGGAGAGGCTTCTACTTGCAGCACCTCGCGAACAAGATGCACCAAGAAAAACGAGGCCACATCTCAACGCTCTCAGTGCACCAATTGGAGCATGGGCCAAGTACACCAAATGGGAAACTCGGTTTTGGTCACAAGGTTGAGGACCTGCAACTGTGAATTTGAGCCGTCAGTGGAGAATCCCGGACCCTTTGAATATGGGTTCACGTCTTAATGGGGAACCCGTCCCCCTCAACAAAACAGCATGTGTGGCTTTCCGTTCGGCATCGTTAAACAACCCCAAGAAGACCCTTAAGAGGCACACTTGGGAATGTCACGCACCTTTTTGACGTGGCTGGCTGCAAACCAATACACCACGAAAAAACCAAAGATATTACTCTATCTTCGGCCGACTTCGGTCGACGAATTGAGTGCGCCGACTATGGGACAAGTCTAAGATGTCGCACGCCACTTCTACATCGGTCCGTCTTTTGCTAGGGGACCTCTCGAAAACGGCTCCGGTTTTCCCCTTTGGGTTTCCCTTTTCAAATTCAGGGAACCACCCCGTACATACGAAACATCGGACGGCGCACTTGCGCAGGAACGGGTCGCCGAAGATGAAAAGTGGCCCCCGGGGGGGCGGCACATCCATGCTCATCAAAGCGACCTGGGTCTCGATCAATCTGCGGCCCCCGGTCCCGCTGTGGCAAGTACTCCATGGACATCAAAGAAGCGGTCGCCCAGACGGATACGTGTCTAAAAATAGTGGTTCACGTGTCCCAAGAGGAGGTTCCTCTAAAAGAGTGGCTGCGATTGAAAGAAGATTCCTCTAAACATAGTGGTTTCGAGGCCCCCAAATTTGAAAGGAGATTTCTCAAACAAATAGTGTGTGTTTTTTTCCCGGTTCCACGTTGACTTGCAAGAGTCCTGCAACAATACGTGGTTTTCCGTGACGGTATCACTGAGGAGATTCCCCAAGGGTATCACAGAGCTTGCTGGTCCGATAAACCATCCCCGATGGTCCGATGGTTTCCTTTAGTAAGGGTAACCCTAGGTTCATTCCCATTACACAAAAGGTCATTCCGTACTGAGCACCAGCAAGAGAAAATGGCAACCTAACACCCAGCTTTTCGCAACCAGCATCACCCTGTTTCAGCAAATCACATTCACCGTGACTCAAACTCCTTGCGGCGATGGTCATGGGGCCATGGTGCGCTGAGATACGAATCTGTGTGATAGCAGGTCCGGGCTGTCCTCAGATACCCTGCTAAAAGTTTAACTTTTCATGGGTACAAAGGAAACCCCCGCTAAACCATAAAACCTCAAAACCTAAGGAACCGGACGATTCGCTGGGGACCGCCAAGAGGTATAGCCGGTTACACCCCTACATGGAACCTGGCAAAGGCCATTTGAAGGAAATGGGCCGTGGGTCCTCTTAGGTCCTTATGCCGGGTGCCAGCTGCTCACCACAAATTGCTGTCAGGGCAGCTGTAGGGTGCACTATGTCAAGGGGTCAAGTGACATCAGGAAACATGCAGCGACCTTGCAAGCGCTACGGGCCCCCTATACACATCATTACATTTGGTGCATATGTATGTTAAACCATATTCATATCTATATATACATATATAGTAGATACATACCTAGAACATCCGATGTGTAAAAATTATTCCATTTGCTGAAAACACACCAACTTCCGCCGCTTCATTTCAAATCCGCCGTTTTCGATTGAAAAGTGTTGTTTGGCAGCCTTGCTTCCTTCCATATAGTTTTCCTCAAGCGGGCAGCGTATTCAAAGTCCGCTTTTTGACCGGCAAAATCCGGTTTTTGACCGGCAAAATCCGCTTGTTCGCGAAGCACTCAAGAGTGCAGAATTTCCTGAATTGTCCAAGATTCCATGATTGCGGAAAAAGCGCTCGCAAAATTGAAAAGCGCTCGCAGAAGTGAAAAACCTTTATTTCCAAAAAATCACTTATTTTACACACAATTGAGGTCCTAGGTACGTTCCCCAGTTTGTGTCAAAAGGAACTACGGTACAAATCAAAATCCAAACCACCAATCCAAAACAACTGTAAGGGGCAGCTGCTAAACCACCAAAGGCACTGAGCAGCTGTGGCCGTCCCGATCCACATAGTCCTCACACGCGCAACAATTCTATGGGTTTTCCGCCCGCGCCCCCCCCCCCCCCCCGGCTCCGCAACATGGACGGTTCTGGAGCCCCCCCCAGACCAAAAAAAGCCTTGGCTGGTTCCCAAAAAACTCCTTGGCCCTGTTCGGCTCTATTGCTGGTTTTTGGGACATCCGCCTTGGAGTGTCAAACGGATTTCGGTCTGGCAACCACTTCCTCCGCACGAAAAGAAGAAGAAAAAAAGCGCTGCCCAGCGCCAGCCGAGCTGGCGCTCTCGGCCCTCGCGCGCCTCGGGGCTGAGGATCAAAGCCTGGCCTCCCAGCTTGAACCCCAAGTCCTCGCGATCGTGGCTCCGTGCTCGCATCGCGGCCCACGGTTGTTGAAATATCTGCGAGTTGGCAGGGAGAAAAACAAAAACAATCGGGGATCTACCAAAGGGCTTCGGTTTCTGGAGTGGGCCAGCTTGCTTGTTCGCCAAGAGCTTGTTGCAGCTTGTGCTTTCTCGAAAATATACACCTCAGTTGCCCAAAGGACCCTTGAGGCCATGACTGTGGACCATCTCACGGAAAAACCCAAAGGCCAGATTCGGTCGATTTGGGCAACCGCGCCAGTCGGAGATCCCAATGTGGGGGACTAGTCCAGGTGTCTAGGTGGGAAGACATGGAGCGAGAAGAAGATCCGCCAAACAAGTCACAGTTCAAAGGTATCCCAGCGAAACCACGTGGCTACAGCTTGTTGTTGCAGGGTGTCTTTAACAATGATACTATAGGAACAGTAGCTCAAGTTATTTGGTGCGGAATGACATCCAGTAGTCAACTTTTGTGGAATGCTGCACGACGCGATTGAGGCCACTTCAGCAAACCGTGGCTTCTCCGAAAGCATTTGATGTGACTCAGATCACGTTTATGTGGCTGGGTTGCACCACCCCGTTGGATCCAAATTCCGACTGCCCAAGTACAAGACCTGCTCTGAAACCTCCACAGAAGGACCTTCAACGCTGATCAAGGGTGCACCTGCACAGGCACTTGTGGGGATTTGCCAAGCACTCGATGCGGGACTCACCATCAGTTGGGATATTCACAGGTCAGCCATAGAAACTGACTTCATGCAGCGTGCTCGAAACATGCTCACAATCGCTGATCAATGGCTCCACTTTGGAAAATCTGGATGGCCACTTCATAGGCTAGAATGAAGGCCTGTGTATGCCAAACTGCAGCCGCTTGCTTCGTAATTACACATTCTCGCTAAACCGTATTGGGGCTGTCTTGCTTGATGGCTACGATTGTCGGTTGTTTCAAACGGAAGCATCGGGAACGCCCCGTTTTGAGAACCTAAATTCACACTCCTCAAAGTGTGTGTGTGTGTGTGTGTGTGTGAGCTGACTTGGTGCAAGCCCTGTGGCGACCGCGGTTGCAGAACGGCTTGCTTGCCAAAACCCGAGCTTACGGATGCGCTTTGGTGCTCAACAAAATTTGCCGACCGCACGAACGGCTTGGCTCCGGAAGGCTGAAGAAGTTGGAACAGTCTTCCGCGACTGCAAGCCTGGCGCGATTTGGAGAGTTGCAAAACTTCGGTGCAACCAACAATCCTTGCAGCTCGGCGGGTTGTTCCCTGCTGAACAAGTTGAAACCTAGCAAAGAATCAACTTCTTGGTTGATGGCAACGAATCAGAGCCACTGGAAATCGACTTAGAGAGAACAGCTTACGCTTTGCGCTGTGAGGTGAGTACCAAAGTTCAGTATTACATACTGCAGCCGCGCCACACAGCCCAAATGTGTCGCATGAAGCGCATTGCACTTGACCCTGCCCGTCCCTCACACAGAGCCCGCCAGGGGCAAAAAATGATATCTGCCTTCAAACATCTGCATGCCCTGGCAAACAAACGGCATTCGTTCTCATAGCAACAATGTGCATTTTCGTGCACACAGGCTGTAGTTTAGATATTGCTGCCGAAACCAAAATGGTATGTCCCAACTTGATCAATTTTCCGCTCCGACTTGAGTCAGGACAAGGCCACGCTGCCGTGGTGTAATTTCGTATCTGCTGTACGGCAGGTTGGATTCATGTCAAAGAGCGATATACATCCGAATCATTCTTGCTCATCAGGATGCCGCCAATCGGCTCAGTCGCGCGCAGTCGCTTCTCCAATATATTGCGCTTCGCCCAAGTTCTCGCATCTGCCGAAAGCGGTCAGGATGGACATGGGCCTCCAGCGTTGATTCCGAGGGCCATGTCTGAAGTTGACTCCTTCCTCAGCCAGACAAGGTCACTACACTTGTCCAAAGGTACCAAAATTGCCCAAGGATAAAGAAGCCCTATAATAGTCTAATAAGGCCTTGGAAGCGCCCTGCGCCCCCCCATGTACTGGCACAACCCCCACACCCCCCACCGAAGGGACTTCGACGCCAGGCATCTCAAATCAGCCAAGCATCAGCAGCGTCTGAGGCCATCGCTGGAACTCATGATCCTGCAGGCAATGTGGGGCTCTCCTGCTATTTGGTTGTGTCTCTTACAGCAGGGGTACCCCCAAAATGGCTAGTTTCCTGGTGGCTTTCCTTGAAAACCACTCTGGAAGGGGTGACCTCAGATGGCAAACGCTGAGACAAACTAGGAAATCCTTGCGCAAGTGACACACCCGCAAACAGTGCCAGGAAGTCAACCACATCATCTCGACAGTGGCCTGGAGAAAAACAACTGAAGCGTGGCGATACCGGAAAAAACAACACGTTGTCAACACGCATCGTCTCTGGGGTAATCAAAATAAGACTTCTCGGTATCAAGTGCAGAATCTGCACATTCTCATTGGCCCCCTACTGAACCGTTGACTGCTGACAGAACATAACCTGAAACAAGAGCACCTAGGTGGAATCAGGTGAACAAAGGCAGCATTACGGAACACCTGCAAACTGGGCTTGTTGGATCCTTAACGCCTGTCCTTTCTAAGGGCTTTCAAAGGAAACACAGAGCAGCAACGAGAATTTGGGGTGGGGGGATCTCAAATTCTGGACAGGTCGCAAGCTTTCCCGGTCAATTCTTAGGCGCGATCCCCTCAATCTGGCTCAAAAAACACAGAAGGAACACAAACATAGGTATCCTGTGAAAAAATAGATGGGTTTCCCTGGTACACGGGGCACAGAACCAATCTAAACCAGCGGAACCCATCATAGCCCATCTATTTCTATTCAAACTAAACTAAAAAGGACATTTTTGGAAAGAAGCAAGAACAAAACGCGAGCACATGATCACCCCTCTTCAGGTCTTTCTGCGATGAAGAAACTCGCCCGATCGTCCTTTCGCAGATGGATGCACACGCACCTCTTGCCGTTCCTCTGCTCGATCTCCCAGTAACTCTCATCCTCATCCACCAAAAGCCCAGGCTCGCCATCAAAGATCACCTGAGCTCCATGGGCTTCGGGGAACCAATGGTGGATTTTTTTCGCACTCTGATGTCTGAAGAATTGCGGGTGCCTAGAGTCTCCATGACCCCTAGAAAAAAGGGTCATCACCCCTTAAATTTGGGTAATGACCCCATTTTTCAAGGGTCATGGAGACTCCAGGTAGTTTGCTTTTGCTTCCCCGGATTGCTCCATGTTTCATTTTGGCCACCCCAGCCTCATCTCCCACCTTGGCTGCGATGTGGTTCTTCAACAGCCTCAGTTGGATTCCAAACGCAAAGCCAACAGGCCCCAAATATCTTCCGGAGAATCTATCGGCTGCATGCTGCAGCCCTTGTGGTCTGTGTGCTGACTTGAGTTTTGAAACAACGCCTCTGCAACTGAAGAAGTTTTTTTGAGTTGTGAACAGATTGTAGCTAAATTATGCAAGTCCCACTTCACTGCTCCGAGTATGTTCGCGGAGGCAAGCAGCGCCGCACCTTGCCCCCTGGTATTCAGCCATCAAATGAGTCATAATCAAAACCTGGCATTAAAATGGTCTACCCAGAAGCATGGAAAGAATTGAAAAGGCGACCGCACCCATTTACCCTCCAATTGCTCTTTCGAATGTGACTGAAATGTCAATCGTAGCCGGGTTGCAAGCAGTCAACATCTTTGCTGTCATGCGTGTCCTGGATTGGGAGCATGACCAGCATGTCCTGGCAAAAAGGCAAGCACAAGATGAGCAGTGTTTTCTTTGGTGGTTCGGGGCCTTTGCACTACTTGCACGCCTACGCGGAAGCCTCCGCAAGCCTACGCCGCTGCAAAGGGTGCCGACGCGAGCACAAGTCAGCTTCCAGGTGCCTACGCGGACGCCTACGCGGGCAGATGTTCAGTTCAAGTGTTGAAGTGCAGTTTGGCAGTACTTTTCCGTACAAGAGCAACTTTGGCAGCTCCAGCTCTAAGATCACCTTTGCAATAACATTGAGAACCCACATCTGTTGAAGGATCTGGCTGCTAGAAAAGGTCTACGTGCTCTAAAATGCCTTGAAAGCCTACGCGAATGCCTACGCGGGGCCTACGCAGAGCCTACGCGAAGACTGCAGAACAAACGGAAGGAAGGCAAAAGAAGCTAACTCCGTTCAAACGCCTACGCGAAAAGCCTACGCGAGGGTTGACACAACAGCCTACGCGCAGAAGCCTATGCGAGCCTACGCCCCCAACCAGGATTGCCTCCGCAAAGTACATGCAGTTCCGTTTTTTGTATAAACCCTTTCATTTGATTAAAAACCGCTGCTCAGATGATCAATGAGATGTGTCTAACGTCTTAACGTTTTACATGGCCTCGGGTTCTTGACGACCTACAATGATTCTGCCATTGCTGTCTTTGGCTGGTTGCGAAGCGCTGAACCGCCCGGTGCTCACAATCAATACTCGTTTCACATGGCTGGCCTGAGCCAGAACACATGCAGCAATACCGGGCATGTGGTTTGCAAACAACACCTATTGCTATAGTACCAGCTTACCATCGAAGCTGGAAGACAGAAGTTTCTAAACCTGAGCTGCGCTCAGATTTCCTGCTAAAAGTTTAACTTTTAGTGGGTTAAATGGAAATCCCCCCTACACCCTAAAAAGCTAACAAGCTAAGGGGATGGGAGCCACCAAGAAACGAAGAGCGTGCCCAGTGACAATGGTGCCCAAAACCTGCGGCACGACCCATGGTGCACTTGCTCGCTCCTGCCCATGCCTCTCCCAGTAGTATCGGCCATTCGGATCACTGCCACCTGACAGCCGAACTGGGAATCGCAGAACACTTGCTCACATCCACTGGGACTATCCTTTACAACAAAACTTCCATTTGCTCAAGTCCCATGGAGCAAAAACAAATGCGACAGATTCCCTCTAAAACTAACAGGGGAGAATAATAATAATACTACTTAATAATAACATTTCAGCAAATGGAAGGAAAGCATGTGACACCCAAATCCAGCAGTCTCTCACCTGCAAAAATTGTGGAACTCCCAGCGAGTTGACCGGGCTGCCTTCGGCAGCAACGGGCCCCATCCCGCAAATGGATTCGCTTCGATTCGCCTCATGACTTAATCAAGTCCGGGGTTGCCGCCCACAAATCCCTGCACCTAGACCTCAAACTACCCATAAAAATGGGCATTGGCCTAAACTAATGAGTAGTTATCCGTTCTAGGGTAGTTTGAGACTTCCCCTGCACCTTCGCCGAGGTCGTTCTTCCCCATCTTGTCCAGATCTTTTGGAATCTCGATGTCTTCGTCGAACTCGTCCACATCCGGATCCATGTCCACCACCTTCAGCAGTTCCACCTCGTACTCCAGAGTGGCCTCTGCGCAGTCGATCCGATCGGCACTGCTTAATCCTAGGAGATGCGCATTGGCAATATTCACTTGCTGAGTGGATGGCCCAAAAAAGTTCAAACTTTATATTTACCACCAAAATGGTCTTCCCAAAAAGTTTAAAGTTCATGAACTGAGGAAGTGAGAATACCAAGTCCGGGATTCATCATGATCCACCCTTGCTAAATTGGTAACATAGGAACATGTTCACGCAATGACAAAGAAATGTGACATAGCCTGAACCACAATTCTGGTAAATCATTTGAGTGTAAGATTACGAGCACAGCAGCTGGGTCGAGTATTGGTGGAAGCTGAGAGGTCAACCAAGTAATAAGCTGTTTGCTGCCTCTATGGCACCTCTCATCCTGCAAAGCACGCCGGCTCTGAGTGCCTGCACCGGTCACCGCATTCCTACACCAGCAAGCATGACAAGTGACGACGTTCGCTAAAACTGCAGCCCTTTCAACCAGCAGAAAGGATAAACTCATCGACCGGGATTATCGAATAATGGCTCAGCAATATGGCTCCATCATCTCAGATGCAGGTTGGTGAGCAAACATATTGATTGTACTGATAGTAACTTAGCCAGGTGTCACAGTCGCGACAGGCTGACGAGGGTTTCCTTTTGGACCTCTTTTGAAAAGGTTTCCCTACAAATTAGCATTGAACCAAAAAGAGAGTCCCCCGAAAAGAGCTTCCTCTAGGAATATTGTCTTTGTGGGTTCCATGTTAATCTGTAGGAGGGTCACGTGGTGGAAAGATTCCCCAGGCCCATCCCCGGCACCCGGTTGCGTCCAACAAAAACAAGAAAGTGGGCCAAGGGGTTCCAACCAGTTGTAGATGGACCATTTACATGACCCGTCCAAACTGATCCGCTAAAGAGAAAACTCGCGAAATGGAAACCACCAAACCCAACTGAAACAACTACACACTCAAGGAACCGGACGATTCTTTGGGAAATGGACCAAGTTACCAGGCTGGCGGCAGGCGTTCGGCCCATCTTTTGGCGAGCTGCAGAGGGAGGTACTTTGCCTTGGCCCTTCTCGCCGTAGGCCAACTCGGGCGCGATGAAGAAGCGAGAAAGCTCCCCTTGGCTCATGCTCATGACCTCAAGCGGCCAGAAAGACTCAAGGGCGTGGGTTTGAAAAGGCGCCCAAAAGAAGCGCGGTCGTCCCGTCCCTTTGGTGTTCCTTCAAAACTGTCACAAAAATGATGCCCTCGGCAAAGTGGAGAGGGCGTGTGTTTTGTTCAGACAGGTTGCCTTCACCAAATCGTTTCGAGGCAAGCTCGTTGAATCCAGAGGCCTGCTCCAGAGGCCTGTGTTCACTTACAGCGCCTGAAGAAACAAAATGCTCCTCCATCCGCGGCAAGCAACCGCTCCAGTTCTGCTAAAATCCGCCGACGCCAGTCGAGCGTGTAGATGGCAGTCCGCAACTTGGTCTTCCTTCGGATCTCTTGTCAAAGCCGAAGGCTTTTGGGGCTGCCATTTTTTGGGCATGGTGTGCTGGGTGTCCAAAACCCTGTAATTTTCCAGTGTTTTTGGGGCTTGCGTGCTAAACATCTGCGTTTTGCCTAGGTCTCTAAAAAAGGGGTTTCCCCCGACGCGCAGGATCTGCATCCCCAGCATCATCAGGATTACCTTGCTGCTATGAATTTGTCTCTTCTTTTTGCAGATACTAATGGTGTTTTGCTGTTTCAAGCGATGTTGGGAACTGTTTGAATTTGCAAAAATGAGTGTTTTTTGCAATTCCCCACCTGTACGGAGCTGTTACTGCGAAACATCCCCTGCATTATCGTGTTTTTGGAAGTCTATTTCTAGGGTATTTGAGGGGGTTGCTGGTACCGGCTTTTGATTGTTGATTTTGGGAAATATCAAAAATCCTGGTTTTTTGGACTTTTTTGTGGCCAGCCGGCTGCATTCCCAGCATTCCCGGCATCTCTGGTATTTTCTGTGTTTGGTCAATTTTGCGCCCGTGCATTTCCAGCGTTTTTTATAGGGAAATGTCTGTAAACTGGCAAGTTCAGACCTTCTATCATCTGGTGCCATCAAGCAAGACTTCCCTGAAAAAATAAAAATGGTCTTAAAATCCCTTGCACCCCACTGGCGTCGGCGGATCGCGTAGCGATTTCAATACTGTTTATCAGCATGTGAAACACAGTTGTTCAAAACAATCAGAGTGTCCACATACTTCATTTCCTGATACACAATTGATCCGATATTCTTGTCGAAACCTGCTTCAACTTGCCAAAGCAAATGCGTTCTGTTGTCAAAAGGAAAGGACATTTAGCTGTCAACCTGAGAACATCCTCAGGGCATCTTCACATAGAAGTTGTTTAAGAAATATCGTCAGAAATCTACAGTATATCAAAACGCCACACCC